TCATTAATTAGTAGTTGTTACTGCTGTTCATGTTAAAATGATCAATCTCACTCATAGAGCACCACATATCGAGTTCTTCCATTAACAAATGGATAGTTCATGTTTTGATGTTCTTCTAAAAACCTTTGGGCGAATTATGCCCAGACAGCTTCGGTGTCAATTGACTTTGGATCGGCTGTTAACGTAAACATTATTACCACTCATTAAATCTCTATCTATATTGCCTGATATGTTGCTATGGTATCAGATGGTTTAAYTCTTTAATCATTTCCAKGGTAATTGTCGTCATTAAAAACTTGTGAGCCAAGTGCAATGATTGCAAACTGAACTTGAAATCATCTCGTTGCACAAATTCACATACGTTARTAATCATAGTTATCTTGCGGGCACAAGTTCARGTGTTGCTGTGAGTTCTAACCACCAATGATTCACAGATGTTTTTTTAATCGCTTTAGGCTCATTACTGTCTTCCTAACATGAACGAAAGCAGCGTGTCATAGGTCTACCACTGATAGATAGATAATTTGTTTTTTTTTCTTTTACCTTTAAGCCTTCCATGTACTTCCCATATTTCCATTTCACTGATCTCAGTTATAGTACAGTCTCAGCTGAATCGAGGGGTGCATAACTTGAAGGTCCATTTGAGACCATAGAGTGGATTGAAGGGCGTAAATATACKGATGTTTCAGGACTACTAATCTTCCCTGACTMCCTAAAACATTTCTTTGTAAAGATTTTCTTGAAGCCATTTCTGAAGTCTTTGCTGAATATGGTAAAGATGACYGGATTAAAGACACAGTTCGAATAAGTGAATAACCAACATATAATCATTGCTTTCTCGAATCCTGGTCTTGAAAGACCGTCACCAAAATCCGCCCAAAGCCAGATGATCTGATTAGGAAGCATAAAGATGGCAAAAACAAGCACGACAACAATAAACATAATGGTTGCTCTTTTATTTGCCTCGTGTTCTTTCATCTGTCTCAATATATATCTGCTTTCCTTTCTCTGTTTCTTTGTGCCAGTGTTGCTGTTGTTYTCAGCTGTCGTCCCGTTTGGCTCTTGGCTGCTTTTCACGAATTGATTCTTCATGTCAGAAGTTCGTTGTGTGGAACTGTATAAGTTCTTTAATGCTAATATATACATGATGACCATGAAAGGAAGGGGTAACCCATACTGCACCATGAACAACACCAGGGTATAACCCTTCCTGTATGTAAAATCAGGCCAGCCCTCACTGCATTGTCCGTTCTTAAGCCTTAGTACAATGATATAGGGTGCGACTACGACACTAGACAAGACATATACACAGACAATAGACAATCGGATCACTTTGGACGTTAATCTTGGTTTAAATGGATGCATAATGAGGCGATACCTGTCTAGAGCTATAACTGCTAGAGTCAGAGCTGAAGCTGTACTTGTTAAAGTAGACGCAGGCCATAGAAGTTTACACAGAAAACCCCCATAACACCAGATATATCCATTTTCTTCTAGTCCAAAGTCAAAAGGAATGCTTATCATTGGAGTAAGAGTGTCACAAATTGCTAAGTTCAAGATTAAATAGTTCGAAGAAGTTCGCATTTTTCTTGTAGTGCCAATGATATACGCAACTGTGACATTTCCAAACGTGCTGCAAACGAAGATCAGAAAGTAAAAGAATATCTTGACAGTCTTGAACTCAACGCTCTCACTTCTCATCGACTCAGTTGTGCTGTTTGAAGAGTTTGTTGAATTGTGGTGAAAACTTGCTGGTTCAAATATCATCAATTCCATCTGGACAAACAACCTGTACTCTCAAATACCGTTCTAATTTAATGCAGTTCTAATTCCGTCAGTTTTTTTAAGTATTTCAAAGTCGTTTCAGCGCTAAATCAGTTGTACTATAATAGCTACTATTGTATGTTACTCTATGCAAATATTTACGATTGTTTCCAGCCCAGTGGATTTCTCTGTACGTCGCCGAATWGTAAAATGAACAAGGCAAGGCCAAAAGCGTATTGTCACTACATCAGCACTGACAGTCAGATGAAACTATTTCAGACACCTTTGGTATTACCAAACGCGACCTTTGCTATCAATAGAGGCGACGATAAAGACAACATTTGACAATTAGAACAGTACAGTGTATTTTAGTAGCCATTGAGTGGTGTAGACTATCGGTAAAATGTGAAGTTGTATGTTATATAAACCAACGGACTGAGTTAAAAGCTTCTGCTTTCCGTAACCGCGCTCGTATTCTTCCATTATGTCTGAATGAAGATGTCAGATACCGGCAATAAATCTATTTGAACCATTATTGTAGCGCCTCTGGCTGAGTCGGCTCCGAAAGCAGTAGGGGGCACTTAACTTATCGGTTAATCTGTTATTCCTAACAGCAATCAAATTAATTGATGAGTTTTGTATTAGATATTGATCTCTTAAATTCTACATTTTGCAGTGCGATTTTCGKGCGTATTTAAATATGTTTCAGTTCAGGAATTACAGTTTGAAACACATTAAGTAGCATTATGTCAGTATATATGAAATGCGTTGATGGTCAGGGATTTTGAAAGGAAATAGTATCATACAGGAAACATTTTCGTCCTCATTATTCTGATTAATATAGAGATTCCTCATGTCGGGTACAAATTCCTTGATATCATAAAACATTCCTTATGAATGCTTGTAGTTTTTTTCCCAGCAAGAGCAATGTCCATCCTTTGTTATTATAACATTGATTTTTATACGGGTAAAGTGAGCGGCAATTCGCTATATCACGACAAAGATTTAATGCAATAAGAAAATGAAATAAGCCCTAAGGCTAGTAAAACTCATTCCTAACGAATTAACTTAAAAGTTGCGGCAATCTACCTCCCTCTAACATCTAAACTAAAACACACATGTCTATTTGTTTATTGCTATATCCATCTGTGACATAATGTCGGTGAATAATACCAAACCATTAATGGCATCAGAGCAATCAAGGTCTTTTCCTTCTTTCCTGTATAGGTTATATATTCCATTAGTAGTACAGAGTTTCTATTATGAATCAAAGATAAAATACAAAAGCCAGGAGAATTTGTAAATGAGTAGGAGTTATTGAAGTAAGGCCGCTGCTATAATCTTTAAACGAGTTCTAGAATCACATCTTTTCTGTCTTGTGAAGCATAGTTAATACAGGGAATAAAGCTGATGAAGTCCACGTTAAAAAAACGTCATTTAAACTGCTTACTCATTTCAGAAATCGTTTTGTAGTCCGCCAAATTCTACCAGCTTTATTTYTCCTTTTCCATTATTACTATCGATTACGTAACTATTTTTTAAATAGTACACTTATTATCAATGAAAACTTGGCCTGACAGTATCTCACAAAAACCTCTTGTTTTACATCTTGTCAATGGTTTCAGGGGTTTATGATAACAACTCTCACTGCTATTTGTGTTTTTAGTCTCAAACGGCTCCCTACCGACACTCAAACAGTCTCGTTACACTTCTAGAACAAYACACGTGAAATAAGGATGTCTGAAATGAGACGAATGGAGATTGTACGACCGATAGGACTTATGATTACATAATGTTCTTCATTCAGTGCAACATGGCGGCGATTGCTTTGTTTTTTCCATATTTCTCAGAAATTTTTTGGTCATTATAGATGAGAAATAATGTCCCAACCAAAAACAAGATGGCCGCCGTGATGTTACCTATAAGCCAATAATGGTGAGTTCGCTTGATTGAATATACCCACTGTCTCTGATGATAGGTGCCGGACTTTCCATCGGGATTCAGTACCCATGGTTCCTTGCGGTTTTTCAAAATAAACTGTAAGCAAAAATGTGAAATTGCAGCTCATCTTTATCAATCTAAAATAACTTGAAAGGAATTTTCTATTGTAAACAGATATGAAAWGCCAGTTGGACAACTTCCAGTATGTCCTGTTTGCAAAACTCAGCCACTGGTCGATGATTGCTAAAAGAAAATTTGTAGATACGCTATAGCTTTACCTGACAACGATACTAAATTGTAAAATGTGTATTCTTCACACGCAAGAAAGTAGCAGGGCTAGGCACGATAGTAAAGGGMATACCAGCCCTAAGGGAGAGTATTGCAGGAATCCCGATCCCGCAAAAACCAAGACAGCTGCTTTTCTGAGATAAATCGTTTGCCAAAAGTCAAATGGCAGAAATGRATGTGAGATTTTGACTTCATCGACGATTTAATCAGTTGAATTTACTATCGAGATTTGCAAGGACATTTGATTGATTTGTGAAAGGTCATTAGTAAGTAGACATGAGTCATCAGAAGCCAAGTCTTCGAGGCGATATGTCATTCTTGACATGAAAACAATCTTTTCTCAAACAATGCAACGATACACTTGATAATGACATTTGATTCGACATGCATTGCTTTTGATCAGGTTTTTCCTTTTCGTGGACACTTCCTAAGCTTATTCCATGATAATAGACGTAAATACCGTGTTAGTATTTAGAACGTAACAGGTCCAAGTGGCCTTGAAACATAAATTCTGATGTTTCATGCTGGGAACTGCTTGGAACCCAGATGAGAGCTTGCGTATGGACTTTCTGAATTAATGACAGCAGCGCAAGAAGACATGTGGGATAGCATGTGGGATAGCAAAATGCATGTGTCAGAGCATGCGTAATGGGTAAATTGAAATCCTTGCACCAAGAAGACAATAACTCGTCCATGTGGGATATAACATTACCAGAAAAGGGCATGCGTAATGGACGGTGTTACGAACAATATCCCCAAATATAACTTTATTATAACACCAGAATATAACACCATGTGTACTTGGCAATAAAAACTAAATATGGTCTTTCTTGAAASAAAACYARCAAAAAAGAAAAAAAACAATTAATTTARACTTTTCTGATAGTCTATTTCTAAGATTCCATATAGTTGTTATCGATAGTATATATTAYCCATTTTAAGCGCAAGGACAGTTGACATACTGCCACTCTGTTTCAATTCCATAATCGTTAGCTTTTGGACAGGAGCTAAGCGAGTCCGCTGTACAGAGCCGCTCTCGGGATTTCCAGCAATCACTATCGTAAACCTTACACGTCCAGTCGGTCCATTTTGAAAAGACYTTGGTTGAAGCTGAGAGTAATGATTAGAAGAATTAGACTACATACTATTACAATTCTATTATGACATCAAACACTACTGATCTTTCCAATCGACTTCGTATCGATATCAAAATMTACCGTTTTTCACAAACAAATGCTCCGTCTTCCTACTGAAATGTGTCCAGGTTTTGGTATTGTTTTTGGCATTCTCTCTTAKTGTRATGGTTGTATTCAGTTGATCTAATTGTGCATTGTTTTAAAGTACTTACGTGCATCGCATTCATAGAATTTTTGGATTTTTTGGATGTCCAGATCTGATAGACCAATATCTTGACCCAGCTTTTTACCAGGATCACCTTTAGCTTCGATTGTTGGGAGGCCATTTTTGCTGAAATCTGTTCTACCATAATGCATCACGCTAGCATAGTCGTATGGCAAACCTTGTGTGTTTGCGAACTCCAGGGGCTGTTTGTCAAACTGGCTCGATGCTCCTACGTGATAAATCATTTTTTAATAATAAATGCAGAAACTATCGACAAGGTATCAAAAAACAAATTAGTCAATATCAACAAACAAATCTTTCGATAAACAATCGGCACAATATCGATAAACAATCGACACGATATCGATAAACAATCGACACAATATCAATAACAATCGACACAATATCGACAATAATCGACAAAATATCGACAATAATCGACAAAATATCGACAATAATCGACAAAATATCGAAAACAAAATCGACGCAATATCAACAACAACAATCCACATAGTATCCATAAAAAAAATCGACGTATTATCGAAAACCAATCTACACAATATTGACAACTATTTACAAGCCTCCGATTGTTGTTGAATTACTCACCATCCTTCATGTTCTCGTATTTGACGACTACGTATTGATCRCTGTCATAACGCGATTGTTCGTGAAAGACGCCAGCAGCATGCATCATCTCATGTAAGATGGTAGCTTGTGATTCACAGCCTATTCCAATCGACAACTCCTGAGCACCAGCATCAGGGGTTTTCCCGACATATGACCAGCATCTATAACACAGACAGACAGAAAGCAATTTACAGTCAACTCTCGCCTTACGGACACCCCGCTACAACGGACACCTCGATATTGCGGAAAGTAAAAAACTGAATCGTCGACGGAAAATACAAAGAAATGACTGAAAGTAACTRTCGTTATTACGGACACTCGATACTACGGACACGAAATTATGGTCCCGAGGGTGTCCGTAATAGCGAGGGTTGACTTTATTAAAGGCCTCTATAGACCCCTTGCAGTTCATGGGAATGCAGCTCCAACTGGAGGACAAAACAATGGATTCTAGTTCCCAAGAGGTTAAAAATCTTTTGTTTTGTCCTCCAGATGAAGCTGCTTTGACGTCACATGCAAGGGGTCTATATATAGACACATCAGATACACTGAGTGCACAGAAAGCAAGGTTAAACCCAATAAGACAGACGGACCGCCATAAGGACCAACAAAAGATGAAACCAGTAGGTAAAGCCGTCATTTCTTTACCCGRCTTTCCTGACAAATCTGACGAATTTGTCTTCARRGGTTCTTGGTGTCCATTTGAGGCAGCCGACTTTTTCTTCAAATACTTTGATGGCAGCCAATATATTCGACTTCACGTCACTTGCTGGAAAAGAAGTTGAGAAATGACGACGTTAGTTTGGAAACTGTTGGACTCCGGATTCCATGGATTCTATGATACTGTAATTCATGGCRGATTCCGGATTGCACTGTTTGACTTAAACTTTCCAGAGATCCGGATTCCGTGCCATTGGTCGATTAATCGTTTTATGTCGATCAAAGTTCAAAGTGCCGCTGAAGTGTACATGTGACCGCTCTCTGTGTCGACTTTGGTTAGCGAAAATTCTTATTATGTTCTTAGAGAGAAAACRTACCGCCGGAGTCTATTTCGAATGGAATTTTTTTCGTCCTCCACATATAGTACAATGCCCTGATATGATTCCTCTTGGCCATGGCTGATCCTTTACCACTCAATATCATGCGCTCTTCTGCTGTGAGAATGATGTCTCCTTCGTAGAAATCCTTGCCGAGATCTTTTGAAAGAAAARATGATTCAGATGTTACTGATGTTAATGAACTTTTAACGCTTGATCTTTAGTAACA